CTAAACTAAATAGGACGTCAATGTTTTGACTGTTTCCATCGGGAAACAGATTAATTGTACTGTTTGAAGTCCTATTGCTCTACTAAATATAAGCAGTTATTCTTGAAATCCCATTTTCTTTTCTCGACTACAATCCAAAAGGAAAGCTTACCTACTCAATAGAAAGAGAAAGTTAAAGAAAAAGGATTTATATGCAAAACTATTTTCTTTTGTTAATTTTTTCCAACTACGATATGAATTATCTTCAAAAGATGGTACAATCTTAGGATGGTTAATGTTATACATCTTCTGAGGTAATTCAATTTCGTTTATTTAGATTTTCTTCTTCTGTTTGTAAGGTTGTTTTACGTTTCCCTTTTTATTCTTTTTCATCGGCTGAAGAAAGATGAGAAAAGGTGGGAGAGGTTGTTGCCGAGAAGGTTTGAACTTCCGTTATATATTACTAAGATAAATGTTTGACATCAATTATTATACATTTTTTTTTGTTTTAATATTTGCAATTTTTTTTGGCAGAATAACAACTTGCAATAAGGGCTCTGCCTCTTTATATAGTTATATAACTGGTAATCAACTCCAGTTGTGTGGAAGAAGATGATGATTATTATTTAATTATAGTAATTATTATTAGAACTATTATTGTTTGTTTACTTCAAACAATACTAGATGCTTGGTCTGGGCAGATGCCCGATCTAGCCCTTAACATTTATTTTTATAAAACAGGTACATTTATACTTTTAGTAAGTATAAAGGGTTAAGTTATAATTATAGGTGGGGTAAAAATAAAATTACAACAAAAGTGAAGGATATCAACTTAAAATATATAAAATTTGATCACTTCATAAAAGATCTATGCATATTTACAAATCGGGTTCCGTCCCTTTTTTTACACCATTCAAGCCATGGGGATACAGGTTATAAGGCGCCTGCATTTTGTTGGATTCAAATATATATTCTCCTGCATTTGTTTTGCAGCAAAACAAACGATAACCAAGCAATACATTTCTCCAAATATTTGGATCAGCCACTGAAATCAAATAGTCAAATGAATCATCAAGCTTATAATTGTATAGGTAGAAGTTCAAAAATAAGTCCTTGCTTCAATGAAAAAGGGGAAGAAAAATAGACATAGAATCAAAATACAAATATCCAACGTAAAAATCAATTCCTTGAATGACATGCAACACAATGACATCTATACATCAAACTATTCTGACCCCAAAATAAACAATTACAATTCCTTTTCGGACTACGAATACTGACAATAAAAACACACAAAAATAATTGAATTATAAAACTATCAAATGAAATGCGAATTTATTTGTAAGGAAGAGAAAAGAAATTGAACAAAAAGTGGACGAAAGAAGACTTACAGAGCTAAGGTCCACTGATGCATTTATTCAAACACTTGGCATAAAGTTACACAGGCTAGCACGTCTGAACAGAACCAAGTGGCTCTAAGTCATTTTTAATCAAACAAAATTCATTCTAATCAAACGGAATTCGAATAGAAATGCCTTAAATACAACAATTTAATAGAATCAAAGGGTAGTAAGCCATTTCTAATCAAAATCTAACCTTTTTCTTGTTCGCTTATTTGTTATTTTTCCAGTTATACACTTTGTCAAAAACCAAAAGAAATCCACAAACCCAATATTGTCCCTGACTGACACCACTAAACTATTGTAGCCTTAACTTTGATACACAGACCAATGCAAAAACAACCAAGAGAAGTAAAACCAACAAAAGATTATCCAAAAATTTCAAATATGCAACATGTGCAAGTGCTCAAGCTTACTCTTCTATCTAAATTATATAGGAAGAATGAAACTTCTAAATAAAAATATTAAAGAACTCACTTGGTTACCACCAACCTTGTGCACTTGACCATCAACAAATATCTTTTCTACAACTTCTGAGTGAAAGATAAAAAATTAAATTAAGAAAATACAGTTATATTGTGGACGAATTAAGCATCATAATGCTTATATTATTCTATATTCTAATCACAAAAACAGCAGCATGATATGAGAGCCCTACATGCTAAAATCATTTACGTAGAATAAAAAGATCTACCTATGTTACGGGTGTCCAACTGATCTTTAATAGACAATAGGGTTGCATTTGATAGCACAGTAATATTTTCTCTTTGCTATTGGCTTCTGGGGGCAGCTTTATGCATGGGAGAATTCAGAGTTTCCCACATCAATTGAATTTTTATAAAAGAGGGAATATGGGAACAAAAATTAAAATAATCCATTAGGACCATAACCTATAGCTTCTCGAGAACAAAAACCAATTGTGTACATAAAATCAGTGGCAAATAAAGCAAATAGCAAGCTTTTAAAGTTTTATATTTTTAGGAATCAAAGTTGAGCTACCATTCCCTACGAAACCCGGAGGGATTCCCAGAAACTTAACTTAAAGTAACAAATAAATAACACACAGAAAACACAACACATTTCATGCAAACCTCAAGTTTTTTGTCAAACAAAAATCAGAAGTAAACATATGACATCTTTTGAATTATGACAACCCAATAACGAACATAACCATAGACTTCTACACTCACAATATTAGTAATAACAAAGAAAATTCAAACACCAATACTTGAAAGTAAAAAGGAAATAAAAAATTAATGAATACCAAAAAAACCATAATTCGTCCTCGGAGGTCTTTCTCAAACATCTGGTCGTGATGTACCAACGGCTCCACTATTTCTATGGTGACGTAACCATATTTGTCTGCGTCGAACTGATTAAACGCATCTTTATAATTTTTCATCTCCTACTCAACAACAAAAAAAATTAAATCATAGGTAAAGCCAAAATTAAATATGTATTCAGTTCTAAGATTAACCAAAGGTTCAATTGCATTACAAAGTAGAATGAAGAACAAAAACAATACCCTTTGTTTTTAAAGTAGTGGATCACCTAATAGAAGATTCATAATCACGTCTACAATTTTTTTAGAGATTATTTCCAGAGTTTATCAAATTAAGTTGAACAACCAACATTTATTTTTTAAAACAAAATATGATACTCTTGAGACCGGATACTGTAATCTATAACTGATTAATAAAGAGAATTGCTTATAAAAAAAATAATTATTACTATGATCCTTTCTCGAAGATGTATTCCTGCACTGTAGCGGACGCGGGGGCAGCCAACCACATCGGATCTAAAAAATTGATGAGAGCCGAAGAAGACCATGACGGATCTGGAGGAAATCCGGTCAGCTGGGACAACATAGAAGAGATTCGACGAAAGCTCCTGGTCGGATTTGAGAATAGATTCTGATGGATTTGTGTGGAATGAGGAGGATTTTAACATCATTATTGTTGAAATTGAAGCAGAATCAAAGAAAATCCGAGTTTCGGCATGCCGCGATCAGAGCGGTGATGGATGAAGTTTAGATCGTAAAAGAAGAAATAAATTCTTCCAAGAAAAATATACAATATGACTGCTCATTTACGGAATCGTGGCTGAGAAGGGGAGAATTTAAACTTCATTTGGAACTTATCTTTTATTTTTTAAATCGAAGTGTGATCCTGGTTGATCAGAGTAGGGATTTGCATTAACTAAGTTGAGGGATATGTGGGATTTGAAGCGTGAAAATCAGTAATAATTTGTGCAAAAGTGGAGTTAAAATCGGAGAGTATTCCCGAATGTTATGGATAAATAAATTAGTTATCAGTAATTTATCAACGTAATGGGTAGATTTCCACTCTTTTATACTCTAATATTGGTTCTTTTCTTTTTTTAAGGAATTTTTCTCTAAAATTCTAGAGTGCCATGTGTCAGTTTTTATTTTGTACTAAAAAAGCCTTTTGGCGAAAAAATTTTGATTGTGAAGCTAACACATGTCCTTTTTGTTTGCTGCTTTAATTAAATACTATGGATGCTAATGAAAGGCCTTTTTAAAAAAAAAATTCTAGACTTTTATTGGAATTTAGTCATCTTGTTGCGACTACAATAATGTCTACATTTAACCAAGAAGAAGAATGAAAAAGATAGTACTCCCGGTTGAAGAGTATGAAGCATGTTTAAATATTAATTTGTTGTAATTGTTTATTTTTATCATATATTTCAGTGATGTGACGTTAATGATCTTCCTGGCCCTTCAAAAAATTCTGTCGATAATGGCATATTTCATTTGCTTTGCTTTGCTTAGATAAAAAACTAAAATCAATTAAAAAAAAATTTAGAACTAATATAGACCGCGCAACGCGCGAGTACAATACTAGTTCATATATAAACCTTTTCTAACAATTGAATTCTTTTCTTAAATACTCTTCCACTGGTCCTATATATAAGACAATATTTAAGACTTGAATTAAGATTGTATGCTATAAACAAAATAGGGGAGTGTATCAAATAAATAGTTAAAGAAAATGAAGAACCAGGCGAGCAAAATAGTTGTTATTGGTTAATGGTAAGAACTTGATTTTAGATTGTACAACTTCTAATTCATCTAAAAAAGGATGGATATACACTCTTTACATTGAGAAAAAAAAAATGGTTTACTCTTCAATCGACTTACTCGATGAACACTTTCATTTTCCTCCTTTAACTAGAAAATCAATTAGGTAAAACCTTAAACTAATTTAGAAAAAGAAAATGAAAAGAAATCCCTCCTGGTCAAGCGGAAAATAAAAGACAAAAATAAATAAATAAATAAAAATCCCCGGGAACCTAGGATGGCTTTCAAATTTCTACCATCGTCTGTAAAGGTAGAATTTAGAAAGTATAAAAAACAACTAATATGTTTCTAGTCGTTTTTTTCTCCTCTGGGATAAAGGGTTTCCAAGGTTTCCCAAACATCCTGGAGAACCCTCACCCAAGGTACAAAAGATCACTTTCAATGTCTCAAGCCTACCAGGTCAAAAGAGGGGATTCTAGGACCACCATTATTGGAATCAACCAATAATAAAAACCTAGAAAATTTGGAGTCTTGGAAGGAGTTTTTGCAGGAAGAAAGTACCAAAAAAAGGAAACATAGAAATGCCAATTCAGAAAGGATATGGGGAATTGGTATGTGTGGCCATTGACAAAGACAAAGGGAGCCAATATGCACTGAAATGGGCAGTTGACAATCTTGTTGGAAAAGGCAAATCTATTACTTTGCTTCATGTCAAACAAAAATCATCTCCTGCTCCAAGTAAATTTCTCTTATTTCCCCTTTCCATATTGTAATATTTGCAATAAACATAGAAAGAATTGGAGTACATTAGATAGGTTTAGGCCTAATTTTGTTGGAAAACAGTATAGTTCAATTTCGTGATGAAATGTGCAGTTTTCATCTATCTTCGTGCATGAAAAAAATGCCCTTATCGTAACTGATGCTATAAGATGGAAAAGAAATGGCTGTCTACACCCCTAGCAGCTATCAAAGTCGAGCCAGTTTAAGCATTCATGTACTGAATTAATACAGGAATCAATGATGCAGCTGATGCGGTTTCAAGATCATACAAAGGTGATAATGACAAGGAGCTGTTCCTTCCCTTCCGCTGCTTCTGCACTCGCAAGGATGTAAGATGTTTTACATTGGGTTAGAACTTCCAATATTGCTGACTTTCATCATCCCCTTGCTCTGAAAATGAAATCCCTGTCCCTTCAAGTAAGGCATTTCTGTCGGGACACTTTATAGAGACTGAAATCACAATACCATAGAATTTCAGGATGAAAGATATGCTGACATTCTTCTTTGTGTTTTAACTCTTCTTTAGCTAGTAATATCTACATTACCATGTCTTGATTTGACAATTCTACGTAATATTGACTCAATATCTTTGAACAGATACGAGTTAATGAAATTTTGCTTGAGGATATGGATATAGCAAGAGCCCTGTGTGATTATCTTAGATTGAATCTGGTTGAAAATATGGTGGTTGGCGCCCCAACAAAGAATGGCTTCGTTCGGTAATTACCTATTTTTCTGCTTACGAACATTTTATTCTCATCATGTTACCTAGGAGATGGATGGAGTTGTTATACATGCACATGCACCCATGTATGGCGGGAAATTGCTCTCACAAACCAATCTTTCTCTGCTAAACGTTGGTTTTTCTCCTTTTATCTCTCTATCATTCAGTTTTCTTGACAGGGATGTTAATAATTTTGGGTAGGTTGATTTTTGGAGAGAAGAAAACACTGTGTTTGGGGAATTCTTTTGAAAGAGAATTAAAAATCGTAAATATTTGAATGAGCAATCAGAAGAAGTTTCAAGATTTTGTATTTTCCTCCTTTAGAGAAAAAATCAACTATTTCCTTACTGAGAAACAAATCATATTTCGACGGCATGATAATGAAAAGCATAATATTTTAGGGCATAAATTTTGAATAAGGGAAAATGATAGTATAAAGACCAAAAGGAAAATGTTTGCATGGCTATAGGTTTTCCGGCCACCCCTAGTAACACAATTGAACTTAAACACAACGATCCAAACAAAATACAATCCATACGGCGCCAGGATCTCTCAGACTAACTTTGTCTGTAAGAAATCAGCACCAAACTCGCTGAACTAAAAGAGCCTAAGAAAACAACAGGAAGATCATTATTGACACCCTTATTACCCAACTTAATCAATCATCCATTGTTGTAGGCATGGAAGATGCACTTTGAGCCATTAAGTTTAAATACTAGTCATGCACTTGGATTGTTAAATGAGATTTCTTTCCGAGTAAAAGAGTATGATGCATATGAGGTTTACCTTATTCGACAAATTATTTCGTGAAGTAGATTCAAAGGCCCAGATGTCGCTTCAAGTGTTTCAAAAGGGGCGCCAGATTTTTGCAATGTCTACACCATCAGTAAAGGAAAAGTTTCATCAGTGAGGAATGCTTCAGGTCCACCTCCAAATCAGTTCCCTCAACAATCACCAAACCAACACACTCCTGCTCTTCCTGAAGCCCGTTTCATACAAGGCAATGGAGTAAGAGGTCGGCTTGTGCAGTTTGTTTACATTAGTACTGCTGGATTTCGCTGCTGAAAGAACTAACTGCTTCATCTCCCTTGAAACAGGTGGCCTTCCAGATAAATCACCAGCTGGAAATCCCTACCTTTCAGAAGAGATGGATTCCATCAGGTGAGTCCTGCATACACCGAAGCAACCAAGTCAAGAAATGACAGTCGCAGTAAGAAAATAGCATTGAATATTATGAGTGAACTCAGGGATTTTGCAAGCCTAACCAGTCAGGTTCTTTTTTCTTGTTAAAAACCTGTTAAATCAGCAAGTTAAAAACTAACAATCAGAATTTTTTTAACTGATACCTGTCAAGAAAAGATCATGATGATGGACAAGGTTTTTTTCCCACTTATAGGAGAACTAAGCATACCATGACATTGTTTACCTACAATACACAGGTCACCATTTACAAGAGCTAATAATAAGTCATATGGAGAACTCTCACTGCCAGATACCGACATATCATTCATCAGCTCGGGCAGACCAAGCACTGATCGGTTCTTCCCCGACAACCAGGACATGTTTGCCCCTCGTCTTTCAAGTGGCTCTGAAACAGAGATGAGATTAAGTTTCGGTTCACCATTCTCAGGCACTCGGACACCTGACTCAAGTAATAGTTTTGCTGTCTTTTCAAACAGCACAAATGATAGTGGCAGTATGTCCTGGTCATCATCAGGCCAGAGTCAGGTACATGCATTAAGATCTCAACTAAGATAGTTAACTTGCCTCATTTAAATCATCTAGGCCTCAGTTTCTCGCACATCCAATTTATGATCAAGAATGGGAGTGAACAACCGCAAATTGGGAATACAATACGAATAAACAATTTTCTGAGATACATTTATTAGGGGTTTATACTTTTCCTGGTCAAGGATTCAGGTTATTATATAACCACACAGTTTGTTTAACAGGACATTTGTGTTATCAGAGTTTTACTAAGTATAAATATATTGCAATTGAAGTAAATGACCAATGCATCTTGGGTCGTACTACTTAAACAGCCTCTCTGTATTGAAATACAGGGGTAAGGCTGCTATGTAAATACTGAAAAAGCTGGGTATGTAATGTCGAGTTGGGAATATACTAGGTATGTTGTTGTTTTTGTTGTTGTTGTTCTTGAAGTAAATGTCCACACATAAGCAATTACCAAATGCTATGTAAAGTTTAAGCAAACCAAATACATCTATAACTACATTGATTTAAAACTGACTTTTTGATCAAGATGGAATGAACAGATTCATAAAAAATATGTTATGGAAGTCTCAGAAGATGACAGAAGGACCATTCTTCATATTGATATAACTTGGATTCTAGGAGTATTTAGGAAACAAACATTCAAAATAACTTCCTTTGTGTAGGATGAAGTGGAAGCTGAGATGAGAAGACTTAAGTATGAGCTAAGACAAACAATGGACATGTACAGCACGGCTTGCAAAGAGGCACTCTTAGCAAAACAGAAGGTCAGTAAAGTGGCATTTAAGTTTCCAAACTTCCTACACAATGATGTGACCTTTTTGTCTCCACCAATCGACCATATGTGAGACATATCAATATCTTTATTGCTCAAAAATATAAATTATCATTCTGCTAGGCATTAGAACTTCAGCGATGGAAGGTAGAGGAGCAGCAGAAGCTAGAAGAGGCTCGCTTATCTGAGGAAGCAGCAATAGCAATAGCAGAGAAAGAAAAGGCCAAGTGTAAGGCAGCCATTGAGGCAGCTGAAGCAGCTCAAAGAATTGCCGAACTGGAAGCACAAAAAAGAAGAAATGCAGAAATGAAAGCATTTAAAGAAGCAGAGGAGAGAAAAAGGGTAATGGATTCACTAGCACAAGGTGATGTAAGATATCGGAGGTATACAATAGATGAGATTGAAACAGCAACACAGCAATTCTCGGACTCTCAAAAAATTGGGGAAGGTGGATATGGACCAGTCTATAAATGTAACTTGGATCACACACCTGTTGCCATAAAGGTACTTAGGCCGGACGCATCTCAAGGAAGGTCACAGTTTCAGCAAGAGGTAAGGACATAGAGTTTTGAATGTTTTATGAAGCTTAGTTAACCTGTCATCTTTGAGCTCTTAAGTGCATCAAATGCTTACATTTCAAGAATGATGCAAACTTAATTTTCAATCATAACTTGTTACCACCAAATTACACCTGCTAATCAGTTTTTGTCTTCATTTTTTTAACACTAACTTTACATAGGTTGAGGTTCTAAGTTGCATAAGGCATCCAAACATGGTGCTCCTTCTTGGGGCCTGCCCAGAGTATGGTTGCCTCGTGTATGAGTACATGGCTAATGGGAGCTTAGATGATCGTCTTTTTCGACGTGGAAATACACCAGTGCTTCCTTGGCAATTGAGATTCCGAATAGCAGCAGAGATTGGCACTGGCCTCCTTTTCCTTCACCAGGCAAAGCCAGAACCACTTGTACACCGTGATTTGAAACCAGCCAATATTTTGCTTGACCGCAACTACGTAAGCAAAATTGGAGATGTTGGTTTAGCGAGGCTAGTCCCTCCTTCTGTAGCTGATACTGTAACGCAATATCTTATGACATCTACAGCTGGAACTTTCTGTTACATAGATCCTGAATACCAGCAAACTGGCATGCTAGGGATTAAATCTGATATTTACTCATTAGGCGTCATGCTTCTACAACTAATTACAGCAAAACCTCCAATGGGTTTGACTCACCATATTGGGAGGGCCATTGAGAGGGGGACCTTCAAAGATATGCTTGACCCAGCGGTTCCAGATTGGCCAGTGGAGGAAGCCTTGAGTTTTGCCAAGTTAGCACTTAAATGCACTGAACTTAGGCGAAAAGATAGACCAGACTTAGCAACTGTTGTGTTGCCTGAACTAGAGAGGTTGAGAGCTCTAGGCGAAGAAACAATGCCGAATATCTCAAGTATGATTACATCTGGCAGTCCAAACAGGTCGACTATTCAAAGCCGAAAATCTGGCTTTCAGGTGCGTCTTTATAGCAGAAAGGACAAAAACTGGGTAACTCAAAATAAATCCGACGAATATTTTGAGAGCTAGACCAAGATTTATCAACAAGTTCATATTTATCTAAAAAGATCCTTGGCTCATGTATAATTAGCTGAAAATGGACTTTAACATGGACATAATGTTGCTTATTGCAGGTAAGTGGCACTTCACAGCAATCATCAGGACACGATAGTGAAACAAACCGTTTGAGTGCTCCGACCTTTTCTGATAGAGATCAAGTTTAAATTACAAGAATGTCATTCACAATGTTTTTCGCAACAGATTTGAGGTAAATGCCTGAAGTCCATTTAGGCTATCTCTCTAGACTGGTACACTGATTCAATCAGTCAATGATTTTAGATATAGTATTCATTATCCAATATCCCTTTCCTAAATATGGTGGATAACTGGGCTGACTTTGAGGACAAGATTGCCTGTACTTACCCCCTACTCCTGACTGTATAAAATTATCGAGTAAAACCCTCGTGTATCTTTGAAGTCCAAGAAAAATATTCTGGTCTTGACATAGGTTGATGTCACTCAACACTCCATTCTTTATCTCCTCATTTGATGTCAGGAGTAACTGACACGCTTCTCAATTAAAATATTTGATTGATAAACTCATCTCCAACCAGCTAAACTAAAATTATTTTTCAAAGATTAATGGACTCTGCCATGGCATGGAATTGCTTGAAATAATATTTTGATAACTGTCAGATTCAGGAATCTTATTCTCTGAAACTCGGATTACAACCCATCTTGTCTTATGATACTTCAAACTATGACCTAAGCAAATAATTATTGAGAAAGGAGAGAAAAGAAATCCATATGGCAGAAAATCAATTTTGATCTTGAATGTGGGACAAAATGTCTGACACACTCATGAAAAGTTCCATCAAGAAAACTAAGATATATCGAACAACTAAAGCTTTATATCATTATGTTGGATAGCCCAATGGATCATGTTTCACACCAAATAATTAGATTTAAATTCAAATAAATAATGTCTTTTAACTGTTTCTGTGCATTGTTTTAGGTCTTCTCTTTACCTTTTAATTTAACATAATAATTTATATAAAGGCTTCTCCATACATCTCCAAACCATATTCAGTGCAATGTCTCATTTTATCTATTGGTTTTAACTTCATTTTACCCCTTATAGTGCTTTTATTACTAAAGCTATCTAATCTAGTGTGTCTGCAGAGCCATCTCAACATTCTCGCTGATGCTACCTTCATTATCTGTTTTCAAATTTAATGATTCTACCTCTAGCCCTAAAGCTCCTGTATTCTGATTTTGATTTGCCCTTGACAGGCCTTTTGCTTTACTACAGCATAGCTAAAAACAGGAATTGAATCGTGCAGAATCTCTTATGGAATTAAGTGAAATTTCAACTCTTTCATGGCAAATTAACCAAATGAACCAAGTCGAGACCTTAAATGGAGCATCAGCCATTACATATCGATGACAAGCAATTTGTTTGCATCTAACATAGTAAGCAAAAGTTTGTTCATCTACAATGAGTAATGAAATCAAGTTAGATTACTACATGAAACCAAAGATGGTAAGAGTGTCATATTCTCCATGCCTCACAAGAGAAACCAAAAAGATAAAGAACTCAAAGTAAAGCGAATGAGGAAAGATGACAAAAAAAAAAAACACAAAACATTTTGACTTAAATTTGTACGTACAACCTGCTACGTGCCCTGGCAAATATTGTATCTGCTCTAAGCATTTGTAATGATGACCTCCATTGCAACAAATCTGTTGGGTCCAATTTCCTAGCTACTGCCTTTGATATCCTGAATATGAAACCTGAAACAACAAGATATATACATATATATTTAGGGTTTTCACTAACGGGGATTAAGTGACAAGACTATAAGCCAAGGAAACACTATACCTGACAATCCTTTGTGGGATTTTAAATTATTTCAGTAGCCATATTCCAGTAGCCGAAGCTATCTACTTAAAGTCCATAAGTCGTTTGAATGTCTCTCTTTAATTCATCTGAGGGTAGCATTCATGTTCTTGCATAAGCAGCTGCTTAGTTCTTTTAATGGAAGTGAAAATGACTCATCAACATCAGTAGTTCCAGAAAACTTGATTACTCCGAAATTTCTTTTTTAGATATACGTCAATAAGCTGCTTGTAGGTCCAATTGCTTTTGCTCGTATATTCTAAAAAAGCCTCAGCACTCAAGTGAAAGTCCCCTTTACCCATCACCTCAAACACTTTTGCATCTGTCAATATCTGGACAGAATTATTTGGGTTAAGTTTGCGTAAAGCGAACCCCAAATTTCTTCCCAACCTTCTTTCCACGTAGGCATCAACAAGACACCCATAAGTGACCAGATCTGGAACCACTGCTACATGCTGCATATGTTCAAGGCTCAAATGCAGGTCCCAAAACAGCAACATCTTTGAAAAAGCCAGAGCCCTGATGTTAAAAGTAGTGAGATCAGGACGAAATCCACTTTCCACCATTCTCACGAATGTCCTCTGCAAGCTTTTCATCTTGAAATTAGCTGCAAACGATAGTAGAAGAAGGTTCCATAAAAGATTTCCTACATTTCTCCTGCCAAGACCCAAATCCTCTACAAACCTACCTAAATTATAGAACTTTTTTTCCCTAATATAGGCAGATGACACAGCTCTAATTGCTTCTTCCTCAATAAGAATCCTTAAACTTTTGAGACGGGCACATGCAACTTCCATCTGAGTCAATGTACCATGGTTGCTGCAATAGATGAGAAAAGCATTGCCAGCAAGAGAGCTGATTGGATACCCCATAGAAATCATCTCCCTTAGCATAAAATCCATTAACTCAAGTTCTCCCTTCTCCCCGAAAGAAAATATAAGCCGAGAACAAATCTCAGGTAACTTGGTTTCATCTTTTAGGCGCAATTGATGTAGAACTCTAGAAACCAAATCAAACTGTCCATTGGTGGCATATATATCAATTAACTCTGAAACCATATCAACAGAAACCAAAGAAGAACTGTAGAACATTTCATCCCACAAAGTTTGAGCTTGAGAGAATAACCCATGATTGGCATAATAAAGTATTGCAGCAGAAAAATTGGGAAAACCAGGCAGAAAACCTTCAGGAGTCATCTTGACTAAATAATTTTCAGGAACATGGTTTGATCCATTACTTAAAATTCTTGTACTGAATGGAGAACCCACAAAAAAGGCATCATCTTCATCAATTTCACCTTCTTGTTTCGCTCTCAAAAGGTACTGCCACAGTAAATTATATGTCTTAGAAATCAGAAGCAGCTATCAAATTAAATCCATAAGAAAATACATCTGATGCAATACAAGTTTTAATAGCAAGCCAAATGTGTATACCACCAAGGTATTGTTAGTCGGCGGTCCACAAATTTGCTATTTCTTGTCTATGCAATAATTCATTTGAAAAGGGGGAGAAACGGAAATTTAGGGTGTGCAACAAACTTATCCATAAAGTAACTTCCCTTCGACTATCAGAAAATAGGCACACCATAACCAAGAACTGTCAAAACAAACACCCATAACCTATTATACCATTTTCATGCTCTAAACTGTAAGGTTCACCACTGTGCGGGGCATGAGTTTGTATATGGAATTCAATGTTGACTAGGTTGAAAAGCTTTCATGGACTATGAGCAGGAAATTTGTACCAGTTGGAGCCATATGTTGGAGGTTTTAGTTTTCTTTACATATTTGAAGCTTTTGCCTAAGCAGTAGAAGGAATAGAAGGTTTTTTAGCACATGGATAGATTGAGCTTTAGCTTTCATCACTACTCCCACTGCAGTCCATGACTACAAACTATCGCCATTCAACACACTAATCCCACTGCAAGGCATTACTACAAAATATCGCCATTTTACAGACTTAACAGGCCCGCGTGTACCTCTTTTTTTGTTGTTGGGTGGATAAATTAGGGACATGAGGTACATCAAGAAGCAAGAATACATAGTAGCAGAAGAGGCATCATGAAGTAATCACTTTTAGGAGGAAGAAGCACACATGGTCTCTAATACAAACTCACATCAAAAGAACGTGTAATCTACTGAAGTGAATGTCAAACAATATCTTAACAGCCAATGCACCTTTCCCACCATCTATCTTCAAACTTTCACCAAAAATTAATAATGTCCCTACATCAAGCAGCACAAACATATGGTCTGCCTCTCTCTTCCAAACCAACAGTATCATACATTTTGCCACCTTTCCCCCACATCCTCCCGACCTAAAAATCGCATTTTGGTCAATCCTCTACCATCACCTGTCAGCTCAAGCTTTTTAAACTTCCTTCCACTCTAACTGCTGGCAAAGTTGCATTCCCTGTTTGTAAAATTACCCTCTGATGCAATTTATCCATCATTTTGAAGGGTATTAACAAAATAAATTCAATACCTGTACCCAAAAAACCACAAAGAAAAAAAACAAATACCCCCACTAAACAGGAGACTGATATATCTGGCGCTTTGTTCTCTACTCTCAAGCTAATACGGCTAGTTCATAATCCCAGACAACGAGAACTATAGGGTCTCTCTATTGTCCAACCCCAAATCCCTTTTCGTATTTAATTTGCAGAAAAAAGGGATGAAATTTCATACGCCAATTAAACAAAAAAAAAAAACCCCATTATACACCAATGATGATTTCAACGAAAAGCGCGCACAAACAGAGGTAATGAACAATCAAAAGATAAGCCAAGAAAAAGGGCTCTGAGCATACCTTTACGCTGGAAGATCTACGTGGAAAGAAAATCCTGGGCAAGTGAAAATGGAAACGGGTTGCATGAAGTGGGTTGCAACTAGGAATAGTTTCCATGGTTTCTTCAGTTGAGAAGAGTGAGGCAGTTCGGAAACTGGAGATTTCAGACAGTTTGGGACCGTTATAAATAAAGATAGAGATGGAATTGGCAAAAACAAAATGCATTTTTCAACCCTCCGATTTTAATAAAAACCACTTTAGACCCCAATTTGATGAAACTCCCAAATTCTATCCATGCTCGGTAAATTATCGATTATGTATGCCTCTAATTGAAGATAAATTAAATCCCAAATGAAGTAGTGAACTCAAAGTGTCTTTTACTTAAATTTATCCGGTTGACCAAACGCTCTATGGCTATCTATGCGGCTATGCTTATAAAATACTTTCTATATCCCAAAAAAAATAGTTCATATTTAGTTTTGAAATTTGTAGTTAACTATTCTTTTGAGGACATAACTTTCTTAAATTTTATCTTTA